GAATCGGAGAAGAAGAATTATAAAGCTCTCTTTATAATTCACCAATGTGTCAGCCCAGATAATATTTTGAAAAGGTTAGTGATGTTGAATCTGTAAAAGAAGCTTGGGAGATTCTCAAGAAATCGTTTAGAGGCGTTGAGAAAGTGAAAGAGGTGAGGTTACAAACTCACAAAAGAACGTATGAATTGCTTCAGATGGAAGATAGAGAAAGCATATATGATTTCTTCATTAGAGTTACAAAACTAGTGAATCAAATCAAAACTTGTGGAGAGACGTTAACAACAAGAGCTATTGTTTCGAAGATCTTAAGATCTTTGGCTCCAAAGTTTGACTATGTGGTAGTTGCCATAGAAGAGTCGAAGGACATGTCATATTTGTCGAAGGAAGATCTTCAAGGGACGCTTGAATCTCATGAACAAAGAATGACTGAAAGAGCCGCATGAGAGTCAAAGAGTGATGTGGCTTTGCAGGATCAATCAACAAAAGATAAGAAAGGCAAAGGAAATTGGTTCGACAATAAAGGTAGAGGTGGCTACAACAATTCGACTAATAGAGGAAATTAGCACAAAGAAAACATATCGAATCAGAGAAGGCCATATCAAGGAAACCAAAGATGTAGTGTTGCAAATAGAGGAAGAGGTGGTGGTCGAAAACCTGAAAAGAGTCACATTCAGTGTTACAATTGTCAAAAGTATGGTCACTATTCTAGTGATTTTCCAAAAAAAGCGAAAGAATCAAGAAAGTGATGCAAAATTTGCAAAACATGAAGAAGAAGAAGAGATGTTGCTGATGGTCATAACAAGAGATGAAGATAAATTCAAGGATCAGTGGTACTTAGATTCATGATGCTTATCACACATGTTTGGAAGGAAAGATTGGTTTGTCAACATAAAATCCTCAATGAAGAACATGGTGAAATTTACAAATGACAATACCCTAGCAGCTGAAGGTATTGGTGATGTTATGATTATGAGGAAAGATGGCAAAAGGTCAGTAATTTCCAATGTGTTATACATACCAGACATGAAGAGCAACTTGCTTAGCATAAGGCAGTTAGTCGAAAAGAATTACAAAGTGTCGATCAAAGACAAGATGATGAGAGTCGTCGACGCAAATGGAAAGTTAATCTTGAAGGCTTCCATTTCTCAAAATAGAACCTTCAAAATTGAACTTAATGTGATGGAGCACAAGTGTCTTTTGACTGCAGCTAGCAGAGATGAACGAATATGGAATTATCGACTAGGCCATCTCAACTTCAGAGACATCAGAGATTTAAAAAGAAGAAATATGGTTTCATAATTTCCAAAAACTTGACATTCTAAGCGAGGTGTGTAAGGAATGTGTGTAGGTGAAGCAACACAAGAATGACTTTAATAAGGATGTAGGAAGCAGGTCGAAGGCTATTCTCAAAGTCATATACTCTGATGTATGTGGACTAATCCATATGAATTCGTTTGGAGGTGACAAATACTTTCTCATGTTCATAGATGATTACATACGAAGATTGTGGATTTACCTGATCAAGAAGAAAAGTGAAGTGATCGAAGTATTTGTCAAGTTTAAGTCTATGTTCGAAAGACAAATGGTCGAAAGCTCAAAGTTTTGAGAACTGATGGTGGTGGAAAGTATGTGTCGAAAGACTTCGACAAGTTATATGAAAAAGAAGGGATTGTGCATGAGGTGGTGCAACCCTACACTCCATAACAGAATGGAACTGCAGAAAGGAAGAATCGAACCATCATGAATATGGTGAGAAGTATGTTGGAAGACAAGTATTTATCTAAAGAGTTTTGGGGTAAACCCGTGTCAACTGGAACATACATATTGAACATATGTCCGACAAAGAAGCTGGAAGGAATTACTCCAAAAGAATGTTGATCTGATGTGAAGCCTAACTTGAGTCATCTGAAGGTATTTGGATCTATAGCACATAGACATGTGCCAGATCAGTTGAGAAGAAAACTTGATGACAAATCAAGTCAAATGATTCTAGTAGGATATCATTCGACAAGAGGTTACAAGTTGTTCGACCCAGTGAACAAACATATTGTGATAAGAAGGGACGTGATTATAGATGAGCTTAAAGAATGGGATTGGACTGAAAATGTCAATAAAGATTCAGTGAGAATCCTACTTGAAGAACCAGAAACTAAAGTCAAAAGAGAAGTTAGACAAGAGGAACCAACACTTATAGATCAACCGAGTACATGCAGATCTCAAAGAACAAGACGCGTGCCTACAAGGTTGCAATATTGAGTGATTACATCATATGATGTGGTTGATAACGAAGGTGAGCTGGTACATTATGCTTTCTATGCAGATGTCCAACCAGTCAATGCAGTTGAAGCATTGAAGGATTCAAAGTGGGTGAAAGAAATGAACGAAGAAGTGAAGTCCATCGAAGATAATAATACTTGGTCATTTGTCTAATTGCCTCAAGGCAAGAAGGAAATTGATGTTAATTGGGTATATAAAGTGAAGGTGAATCTAAAAGTGGAAGTAACTCGACACAAAGCAAGGCCCGTGGCGAAAGGATTTCTCCAAAAAGAAGGAATATACTTCGATGAAGATTTTGCACCTATGGCTAGAATCAAAATAATCAGGTTGGTTATTGGTCTTGCAGAAATAAACAGTTGGCATATATGTCAGATGGACGTGAAGTATGCATTCTTGAATGGATCCTTAGATGATGAAGTTTATGTTGAACAACCAGTTGGATTTGTGAAACATGACGAAGAGAGAAAGGTGTACAGACTTCATAAAGCTCTGTATGGATTGAAACAAGCTCCAAGAGCCTGGAACAAGAAGATTGATAGTTTCTTAAGGGAGAAGGAATCTGTGAAGTGCACAAATGAACACAGAGTATATGTAAGAAGAAGCAATAATAAGTTGCTTATACTATATCTCTATGTCGATGACTTGTTAATAACATGTAGCTGCAAGAAGGAGATCGAAGACTTCAAAGGTGATCTCAGCAAGGAATTCAAAATGTCTGATCTGTGTGACATTTCATATTTCCTTGGCATCAAATTCTACAAGAGCAGTAGAGGTTTAATGATGCATCAAAGAAGATATGCAGGAGAAATTCTCAAGAGATTTGAGACGGAAGAATACAACTCGATTTCGACACCTGCTGAACCAAAATTACAATTGTCGAAAGATGCAGATGAAGATGATGTCGACCTAATCTAGTACAAAAGATTTATTGGGTCATTAAGATATCTTTGTCACACAAGGCGTGACTTAGCATATAGTGTAAGTATGGTAAGTATATTCATGTAGAATCCAAAGGTATCATATCTAACAGCGGTGAAGAGGATACTGAGGTATCTCAAAGGAACTCTCGACTATGACATTTTATTTCATGTAGTTAATAAGGGAAAAGAATGCAAGTTAGTGAGATATACTGATTTGAGTTGGTGTAGTGATGCTGAGGATCGAAAATCCAAGCAGGATATGTGTTTATGCTAGGTGGTGCACCAGTTGCTTGGAGTTCGAGAAATGAACTGTAGTGACATTATCATCATACGAAGCAGAATACATAGTTGTTTCTCTTTGTGCATGTCAAGCAACTTTGATGGTGAACTTGGTCGAAGAGATTATAGGGAAAGATCATGGAGTAATTACCATGAAGATCGACATCATGTCAGCTATGAACCTGGCGAAGAATTCGATAACTCATGGTCGAAGCAAGCACATCGAAATGATGTTTCGCTATCTTTGAGAGCAGATAGCAGATGAGAAGATGAACTTGGAACACTACAGAGCTGAGAATCAAATTGCAGATATCATGACGAAGGGAGTGCAAGTCGAAACATTCAGAAGACTAAGAACTATGATGAATATAGATAGTTTAGAAACAATGAATTAGGTGGTGTGTTAAATTGTAATTCATAGTGTCGAAACTATGTGTATTTCGAAGAGTTAGAGGTTGTCGAAGCAGGTTGCTCGATAAAAACCATGGTCCAGTCGAAGAGTTTGTGTATCGAAGCAGGCTGCACACAAATTTCATTTAGATTTGTTTTAGATTTAGATCTAAAATAGAATAGATTTAATTTAGTTTCAAAATATATATTTTGGGCTTTTATAGTTTTGGGTTTTGCCTTAGAGAGCAAGCTAACCTAAATCTATAAATAAGGAGGAACCCCTATTTTTATAATCAAGTCAATTCATTGTATTCACAGAATTTGCAGTTGCAAGTGAATAATAAAGTTTTTTACAGTTTGTGAGCAGAGAGAAACTCTGCACAAAATAATTGTCTTCTTTCTTTTCTTTTCATATAATCCATTGTCATTGTATGATGATATCAATATTGTTCATCAAGATTGATAGAAATTCATCATAGATTTTTGTGAATTTCCAACATGCCTAACTCCACCCTTATTTTTCACATGATAGGACAAAATTTTAGATCCATATCCTCAAATATATTGGTCTCTCACTCCATTTTTAATGACTTTTGCGGAAGTGACCTAAAAGAGGATAGACATGGAGTTACTCTATAAGCATGCGTTTATCTATAAGCATAGTGAGGTTATTTCCGTTGGCAAACCCACTTGTATTATTTTCATTCATCATCATTCATGGACAATGGCACATTGATATATGCGTTATTCTTTCATTTTTTCCAAACTCCTCCAAAAATATATGACAAAGATATATTATTATTTTTCAATGAGGATGATAATGAAGAAAAGAAAGAAAGAATGGTGTGAAACACACAACTTGTTTGTGGCTAAAAACCACATCACTTTGTTGATGAGATAATTTGTTCAAAATAATACTCACCTCCAAAACCTCATCCACTTGAAAAATTATTTTCTCCATTCACGTTACAACAAAATTTTTGAGGCCCCCATCTTATTTTGTCTCTATTCTTATCACACTTTTATCAAACCGTTGCTATTTTTCACTTCATTTCAGTTTCTATAATTTCTCACCTCTCTACTTCTTCCTCTGCATGCACTCTCTTGCTTAGTTTTCTACAAACACCTTTGAAAATGGAGATAACCAACGTCAGTGAGTATGAGAATGTCGCGAAGCAGAAGTTGCCGAAGATGGTGTTTGATTACTATGCATCTGGTGCTGAAGACCAGTGGACTCTCCAAGAAAACAGAAACGCCTTCTCCAGAATTTTGTAAGATTTTTTTTTTTGACAGTAGCTACTTTACTATACTATGTTGGTTCATCATGTACTGAGAAATATGGTTGACGAATAAACAGGTTTAGGCCGCGAATTCTTATCGATGTGAGCAAGATAGACATGACTACTACTGTCCTCGGCTTCAAAATATCCATGCCAATCATGATTGCTCCAACTGCCATGCAGAAAATGGCTCATCCTGAAGGTATCATTGCCTGTTCTTTATATTCACTTGGTTTTCTGAAGTTGTTATGCGCAATATTATGTTCGTTTTGCTAGAAGAAAATAGTTCATGAGAATTCTTGTGTGACATGAAATTTTTCGGAGTTTAAGCTTATGTTACCCTTTTGATGACACTGATAATAGGGTAAGTTAATCACCGTACTTGATTTATGTAGAAAATACTTGAGACGACTATCTAGTGCCATGAACGCCATGAACTAATGTATTGATAATAATCATAACTTTGTTTGATGTTCTGTCACTTCTGTCTTGCGCAGGAGAGTATGCAACAGCAAGAGCTGCATCAGCTGCTGGAACAATTATGGTATGTTTTTGCATTCAGCAAATATTCTATATATGCTTGTGAGCTACGAAGTTATTTGTTGTTAGCGATGTGTGCCTCTCTGATAGGGTTTATGTTCTTATTAACGAGTAACTTGTTGATTCTTTCAGACTTTGTCATCATGGGCAACTTCAAGTGTTGAAGAAGTGGCTTCAACAGGACCTGGAATTCGCTTTTTCCAGCTATATGTAAGCTACAAAAACATCATTCTCTCAGCTCCATTTGTTGTTCATTTTCATTTTTGATGCAAAAATAGTTTGTTTTGCTTACATGATACTCCTCTCTATTTGCCGTATATTGTTTAGGTTTATAAGGATAGGAATGTGGTTGCTCAGCTTGTGAGAAGAGCTGAAAAAGCCGGATTCAAGGCTATTGCCCTTACTGTTGATACTCCAAGACTCGGTCGCAGAGAAGCTGATATCAAAAACAGGTACTTCACTTTCAATCTTGATGTATTACTTACTCAATTGGTAACTGTCGCGGTCGCGATTTGATTCTTATAAATTATTGTAATCAAGATTACTTATAAAAATTTCTTTTGCAGATTTGTTTTGCCACCGTTTTTGACATTGAAGAACTTTGAAGGCTTGGACCTCGGAAAGATGGACCAAGTAAGCTATTATAAAATTAGTATTGTAGTTCAATTTCTCGCGTCTATCACTAATTGAATTGTTAATTTGATTCTTTTAGGCTAATGACTCTGGACTTGCTTCATATGTTGCTGGTCAAATTGATCGCACTCTAAGCTGGAAGGTACGACACATAATTTTCTCTCTGGTCTGTTTGGATTGACTTATTTAAATTTATCTACTGAGTTAAACACTGGCAAACATGTTTGGCAAAACTTCAAGAAATTGTTAATGACGTGTCTATAAGTGTTTTCAACTCATTTTATGATTTGTGCAGGATGTGAAGTGGCTTCAGACAATCACCAGCCTGCCAATTCTTGTGAAGGGTGTACTCACTGCTGAGGATGGTAAGCAAAAGAAAACCTATTTGACAATTCGACTAATACACTCTTTTCGCACAGTAGTATTCGATATAATTCACATAAATCATACCATATTTTATGAATGTGTTAATGTTGAATTTGGCAGCAAGGCTAGCAGTACAAAGTGGTGCGGCTGGAATAATTGTGTCCAATCATGGAGCAAGACAACTTGATTATGTTCCAGCCACCATAAGTGCTTTAGAAGAGGTATGTTAATACTAATATAAATTCTAGATATATGTATATAACAAGATTGTTTATATAATGATAATTGCTTTATTGAAATTACTAAGGTTGTGAAAGCTGCTCAAGGCCGCATTCCTGTATTTTTGGATGGTGGTGTTCGCCGTGGAACTGATGTCTTCAAGGCATTGGCACTTGGTGCCTCTGGCATATTTGTAAGTATACTCAAAACTTTTGAAGCAAGTGGTTTCTCTGGTGTAAACGTGTTAGTGTTAGTGTCAGTATTGTGTCTGATGTGTGTGTCAGTATCAGTATCAGTGGTTCTTCATGGCTCATAATTTAATGATGGTGTATGTTTAGATTGGACGTCCTGTGGTGTTTTCATTGGCTGCTGAAGGAGAAGTTGGAGTAAGAAAAGTTCTTCAGATGCTACGCGATGAGTTTGAGATAACAATGGCTTTAAGTGGATGCCGTTCACTCAAAGAAATCACCCGTGAACACATTGTTGCAGATTGGGACACTCCTCGCACGCATCCACGTGCATTACCAAGATTATGAAAAGCTTTATCCTCATCATTTGATCTTGATACAATGATGAAAACTTGTTCTAATTATCTTATGTTTTGCCTTTAAGGAGAACTCATTTAAGGTTTTTATATATTTGTAAAACTACATGCTTTCTCTGTATGGATGGATTATGTTATACTTGTGTTGTGTGGCTACTCTGCTACATTCACTCATTGTATATTCTTTTCTCTTTTTTCCTTTTTAAAATATGAAACTATTGTTGAATAAAATAGGTGTTGTTCTTCTCAAAGGAATGAGAAAGAGTACTATGAGTAGTCCCTTAAAAATAAACAACTTCACTTATAGTGTCTCTTCGTTGGAGCAAGTCTAGGGGGAATTCATATACTTTCCACTCAATGTGTTAGTGATTGCTTGATCAAGGTTGAAAGATAAAGAAAAATAAAAAGTTTGATTTTAAATTATTGAACTTGATTCAACAATCAGTGATGTTTCATCTGTAAGAACGATGAATAAGAATAATCACTTATCATAAAAATTCAAATTTTTGAGGCGATAGTGATAAGAGTTAAGAATGTTATATAAATATTAATTTTAATTTTTTTTTTCGGAAGTGACACTATTTCTAATTCTTTTTGGACGTTGTTTATACTTTAGTGTGCTTATTTTTCTACATTATATTATTATTTGCCTTAAAAAAATATGTGATTAATTGCAAGTACTTGCTTTATATGCAATTATACCATTGGACTAAAATTAGTTAAGTTGTTTATGGGTTGTTTAAATTTTATATTGAGTTAAAAAGTGGTTAAACAACTCATTTTAGGAATAAAGTGATTTGTTTAACTAAAATTTTGTTAAGTGAATGGCTCGTAAGATCAAAAATAAATTAATTTGAATTAAATTTAGTTAATCTCTATTCTATTTAATAAAAATTAATTTAGGTTAAAATTTAACTCGATATAACCACAATTTTTTTCAATTTGAAATTGATTTAATCAAAGTTCGTAAATAACTCGATTCAACTCAATAATTCAAAGTTATCCTAAGAGTGGCAAAGGGGGAATAGGTTTAGGGGTTCAGTTGAAACCCATAGCTTTTTAAAAAACAATCCAAATTCTTACATAATTTGTTTTTTAAATCCCTCAAAAAAGGTTTTTGTACAATTAACTCAAAAAATTTAAATATAATTATATATTTTTCTTATATTTTTAACACAATTATTTTTAAATTTCATATTTTCTCTAATCCTAAACTCTTTTTAAAAAATTGTGATATTTATCGACTCTATCGAGATATTTAAATTTACTGGTATATTATTCATAATATTTAATTGTTCATAGATTTTAAAAAATACTTGTATATTATAGTACTGATAAATTTAAATATGATTAAAAATTATTAAAAATTATTTACGAACTTAAAAATCACTTAAATACACATTGTCACTTAAATATTAATTTTAAATTATTCTTTCAACGATGGGACTCTTTCCCGGCCAGACTGTTAGAGTTGGTGTTAGCGGAAGCGGGATTATCAAATCGTGTTCAATTTATTTCCTCTAGGATCATGTAGGAGTAATCCATGCTCACCATCTCTTGAGTGATTTATACTTTTTTTCTTCCTATCTTTAATCTGAAGGAATGGTTTCCCCAAAAGGACATTCTCAAAGATCCCACACTTAAGGCCTTCTTCGGCTTCATCCACCTCAACAATAACTTGTGTAAATCAGTAAATATAAGACCACATGATTTCCTTCTTCCCTTAAATGACCCCGCTTAAAGTAGCTATAATCACAAGCTACTTTTTCCAGGCGGTAAAGTGCATGGTGAATCTTTTACAAAAATTGGTCCAGGATTCAATACTCTTGTCCGACAGACTATTGAACCATAGCCTGATCGGTCTAACCCGAGTTAATGTGAACAACTTGTATTTGGAGGCTTCGTCGACATTAAGGAGTTGTCATCATCAAAACAACAACCTATTACCTACAAAATAAGGTTCCACAATCTACTTCTTGTGAATTTGTTAACTATGTTCCAAGCACACAACAAGTCTTCTTTCATTAAAAATCTATCAAGTCTACTCATGTCTGAATCATCAGCCTTAAACAAAGTATAATTTCCGCCAAACACATGCACATTAATAAGGCCCATGTCCTATATAAATTCACAGAACATTAATAAGGCCCTTGAGCGCTAATGTGTATTTCTCAATTTTACATTGTAAAATAACTAAGACAATATGAGTCACCTTTTAAGTGTTGGACAAGAGAACTCAAGAACAAGAGGGGTAAATTATGGTATTCAAAATTCGTGATTAATTTAACCTTTCTCGATTAAGATTTTATTAGTGAAATTTAAGTGAGTAATCACAACGGAAACAAAATATTGAAAAAGTAAATTGCAGAAAGTAAAGAGATAAAGTTAGATAGATTGTACCAGAGATTTATACAGGTTTGCTCGAACGTTGGCCTAGTTTTGTCTCCAAGTGGTCTTCTTGAGAGTTTCACTATAGACTTTGAGCTTTTAATAGGTTATGTCCACGAACCTTATTACAATCTGATCTTGAGATTTCAACAGGCTTATCCCCAATCTAAAGATAACTTTTACCCCTGACTATGCTATCAAACCAAATAGAGAATTATGGCTGGTCTCTTTAACCATACCAAAACTTTTTTCAGCAAAGCTTAATAAACTAATAATAGAGATTTATGGTTGATCTCAAGAACCAAAACTCACTCTCTTAAAGGTATCACACCCTTAAGAATAAAA